GGATAGAAGCGATGACGACCCAAACTGTAGCGACGACGACCCTTACCGAGACCGAACAAAGTAAGGATATCGAATCACTTGATATTTTATGGCCAATTTTCTTTATAATAGGAAGATTATTTATAAATGCATCAGATGATCTTACTGTCGATAAAATAGGGACATTGAATCGATGGATACAAAGGCTGAACAAGAACTTCTGAAATAAATGGTAAGATGAATACTTAACCACAATTGCAAGACAGGAGAAAGTGGTTAAAAAAGCTACGCGTTGTGGATACATTGAAAAATATCCTTGAAAAGAGCTACGCCTTGTAGAAGCTTTGAAAAATATTCTTTAAAAAATCTACACCTTTTGGGAGCTTTAGAAAAATATTCATAAAAGTCCTATAAATTATTTCTAATACCACCACAAAAATTATCGTTACCACCAGGAGGTTTTTGAAACACTTTTGATTTTATTCTTTAAAAAATCTACGCCTTGTGGATGCCTTGAAAAATATTCTTTAAAAAATCTACGCCTTGTGGATGCCTTGAAAAATATTCTTTAAAAAATCTACGCCTTGTGGATGCCTTGAAAAATATTCTTTAAAAAATCTACGAATTGTGGATGCCTTGAAAAATATTCTTTAACAAATCTACGCCTTGTTGATGCCTTGAAAAATATTCTTTAAAAAATGTACGTCTTGTTGGAGCTTGAAAAAAATTATCACTGGAGGCCAGTGGGTTTTTGAAACACTTTCGATTTTATTCTTTAGAAAATCTCTTTTTATTTATTTTATTACAAAATTACACACATACACACAAGAACATTTAAATATTGCAAATACGTACATAGTAGTAGGTATATATGTATTAATAATAACAATTAATGATTAATATTTTGTCCGCATACATATTTATTACAATTTGTACGTGGCCGAAGAAACCCCTCTTTCGGTAAATCCTTTTTTTCACCAGAAGGTGTTTGCATTGCGATCAATGTCAATAGAAGTAAAATAGCCTTCAATATAATGCTGATTGAAAATTTCGTCATTCCGCTTAATAAAAATAGTAAATATATCTTCGATTAGAATTTTCGATAGCACCACCAACACAGACCAGCTAACAAGAACTGAATTGACCGAAGTTGTTGCTTTTCAATTAGAAGGTGTAGAAGACCGGGAAAATTCCTTTTTGTCACAAATTCCAAAAAAAAAAAAAACCTTAATGGAATATACAAATATTTTGTAACTTTTTGACATACAGTGACTCAAAAGCAAAATCGATGCATTGATTGGATGATATTAAATGTATCCACTATCATTTAAACAGAAAAAATATACTCCGAACCACAGTCGTGGGCAAACAGTAATGGGGAATACATTTATCTAGTCTAGCCAACGCAACATTGTATTTGTCGCAATAAATTATAAGAAAAAATTGTCTTAGAACAGCCACGGCTGAAGCTCTGACATCACCTTCCAAAAATATGTTAGATATACTTGTTTCAATTTACTTGTCAACACAATATTTATATATATATATATAACCTTTGAAACCGAAAAATTGTATTAGAGACATTTTCCAAAAATTGTGTATTCATTCTGTCTTGAATTCTTAAGTCGACGTGTTGATATTTTATCTTTAATTCCAATAGGTTATGGGTCCAGTCCAATTGTCCATTTTAAAAATATAAAAAAATACTAGAGAAGATTCGGAATGGAGCAAAAAGTGATGTTTCCGTTGTTCCTGTAATTATTTTACATAGAAATTTAAGATGCAAATGCATTTGTGGGATGTTGTGGAAAAGGATACGCCAAATCCTGTTACCGGGGAGTTCACTAGACAAGATCAAAAAGACAAAGAAACTATAGCAAATACATCTTATAAGAACATCATCATCAGCAAAGTCCTTGTGGAATACATTGAAAATAACCTATGTGAGAAAAACTATGACGTCTAAGTTGCATTTGTTACGTCGGCTATATGACAGAAGTTTGAATGTTATAAGGGCACACTTGCTAGATATGAATAGCTTGCCGAAGTCTTTTAGTGCATTAGTTACGTCAATTGAAGATCAGCCGGAAGAGACCATCATACTGGAATATATTGAAGAAAAACTTTTGGAGGAATGTGAACGCAGGTGTGAAACGGTAAATTATAATAATATGGTAGAAAATGATGCTGTAACAAGTGAAAAAGCATAAAGTTCGGCCGAACCGAACTTTATAAAACATCCACCATAGATGGTTTAAATAAAAATATAGGAAATATACCAACAAATTTGTTTCAAAAATTTTTGATTTCAATTACAAAGTAAATAAAGATGAAATTAAATTAAAACTTTGTCCATTTTATTATTTCTTCCAAAATTTCTTCAAGTTCGAACATGGGGAATATCGGTCCACTCCCTCTGGTACTTCATATATATGAATATATATATATAAGATAAATTATCGAAAGGATTCATGGTTATATATATGGAAGAAAGTTACTAGCCGAGGGTTTAGCAACTGAAAATCTGTATGTTTTAAAAGAAAGAAATGGATGCAAACAGAACACATATACAAATCATTCATTAGCATGTATTCATTTATGGTATCGACGCTTAAGCCACCGAAATATTGCTCATATCAAGAAATTACAAAATTTAGCTGAAGGTATTTGTATACAGGATTGTAATGACAATAAATTTTGTGATATATGTTCAAAATCCAAAATGACTAGGAATCCATTTCCAAAAGGGAGCAACAGCAAGACTAAGGAAGTGTCGGAGATAGTCCATTCGGATGTTTGCGGACCCCTTCAAGTAAGCTCTCAGAATGAAAAGAAATATTTTTTGACTTTTAACGATGATCGATGATGATGACGATCGATCGATGATAACGATGATGATCGAAAAAATCTGTGGTAACATTAAAATTTAAGGATTTCATTGCCGAAGTTCAGAATTTTTTTGAAAAAAAAGTTCTTCGCTGCGATAATGGAGGTGAATTTATAAATAATGAAATGAAAACTTTGTTGAAGAATAATGGTATAATTTTGCAAACAACAGTGTGATATTATCCGGAGCGAACGGAGTAGCGGAGCGTAAAAACCGCACTTTAGTTGAAATGGTAAGAGCTATGCTGAATGAAGCAAATTTACCTAAAATGTGACATTTCATGAATTTGATATGCAGCATAGGGCGGAAAATCTAACGGAACAATCGATTTCAATACAATTTTCAAGCTATAAGGAAAGCAAAACTGAAGAGTATGATTTGGATTTTCAGTCTGCTGATGAGAATATAGAGGACGTTACTATCCGGTCTGAAAGACTGAAAAGAAATACTCCTCTGAATTAGTAAGTGATAATGAAAATCCTCCAAATTCTTGGAAAGAAATGCCAAAACTCCCAACATCAAGTCGAAATGTATGGATGAGCGCTGTAAATGAAGAAATTGCCAGCTTAAAAAGTAACATCACCTGGGTATTGACGGAGCTACCCGAAGGGAAGAAAATAATAGGATGCAATTAAAGAGCAACAACTTCAACAAGCCAAAGTATAAAGTTTCCAAGGGATACACAGTAATTTGGAGAAGAAAATTGGATTCGAAAAAGGAAAGGCTGACACTTGTTCATATATCAAGAAGGAGGACAGCGACTTTAATTATCTTCTCGATGATCTACTAATGATCTATGATCTACTAATTTGTGCAAAGAACAACATTATTTTGAATAAGATTTATATTTGGGAAATGCGTCATCTTATTTAGGCATTAAAATTATTCGCAATTCCCGAGGAGATTTCCAACTTAACCAAAATGAGAAAATATCCAAATTGGTAATTGAGACGAAATTAGAAGGAAAATGTTCGCAAATTCCAATGAATCCAGAATTCCCTAAAATAGTACATGATGATAACCTTCTACAAAGTAATGATAGACATCGATCTATTTTAGGAATGATTCTTCATATATCGATCACGACAAGACCAGATATAGCCGCAGCCGTTTCTATTTTTTGTCGAAGCGTTGAAAGGCAACAACGGAAAGTAAATTAATAATTAAATCAGATTCGGATTTGAATATCAAATGGTACACGGATTCAAATTGGGCAGGAGATCTCGATAATCGAAATTCAACAAGTGGTTATCTAATTTTGCTGGGAGACTATGCAATTTTTGGTCTTCAAAGAAGCAGTCAACAATTGCGTTATCATCTGAAGCTGAGTTTTTAGCGGCTTCGTACGCAGCTCAAGAACTATTGTGGATCAAGCAATTACTACATGAGATGTCAATTACAATCTCATTTCCGATGTATGAAGACAACCAAAGTTGTATAAAGATAATAAAATCTCCAAAGTTTAGTTCAAGAACCAAACATATCACATAAGGAATTTAGAGAGTGATGGTGTAATTGATTTATTGTATTGCCCAACAGATCAACAACGAGCTGATTTCTTGACCAACATTTGGCTTCATCTAAGTTTTAATTATTAGTAAAGGATTTATTTATGGTGCGATATGTGGCTGTATCTGTTGTGGATCAAAATATATGGACCTTAGAACCCTACAAAAACTAGGAAATTCTGTCGCGTAGCCGGTGTTGGTATCTGTCCATAGGAGAGTCTTAAATCGCCGCCCGTCTTAACCGGATAAAACCGGGTACCCGTACCCGAACTTCCGGGTCAAATAACCGGGTACGTCCCCCAAATAAAAAGATAATTAGGGTAAAAATACCTACCTTTGGAAAAAAAATCAGAAAAATCTGATCGTTTTTACTAAACTAGAGTTAAGCCAAATATTCTTTAAAAAATCCACGACCTGTGGCTACTTGAAAAAATATTCTTAAAAAAAATCCAAGTCTTGAGGCTACCTGAAAAATATTTTTTTTTTTTAAATATTTATATATGTATATATATTTTAGCTTAAAAAATATTATTTAAAAAAATCCACGCCTTGTGGTTGCCCTGAAAAATTATTCTTTAAAAAATATTTAAAAACTTCAAATCATTATTAATATGTCAATGACTCACATTGGGTTATCCAACTTTTTCTCTTCATTCAACATCTTTTTTTTAATAAATTCCAATTAAGAAAACAGAAAACTAGTTTTTTCGTCTGCTTTCGGTCATCAACCAAAAAGAAAAATTGTAAACACAAGAGAAAATGTAAACAGTCTAGAAATTTTAATTAAATAACAACAACGACAACAAAAATAACCGTCACAACATTCACTGTTATTTCTGCCATCAATATGGCAAAACCAATACAACTACAACAAATTCTTATGTCATTTCATTTGTTTACATTCTGCCCTGGATGTGGCACAAACGAAGTGTCACTTGGGCTAACTACGTGGCAACACTGGCCGCCATAATAACATAACAACATAAATTCTTTTACAAAAAATTTTTGGAATTTGTGGCATGCAACATGCCCATCAACAAGCCTGCCACATCCATAATTGCACGCACAAAGCAATAACAATAACAAGCAAACAATACTTACTCTCACTTTTCCCCGGGTTTTGTGTTTTTGCATGCAATCGATGGCATACGGTTTGTTTGATGTTCGCTCTCTCTCACACTCTCTCTATGGCTGGCTATTTATGGTTTTTTTAAACAACAACAAACACTAAAACCATTAGAAAATAATATGCACTTTATTTATTTCTTAAAACTATTTCACTTCAAATATAAACAAATATCATTTATTTTTATTTATTTAAAATTCCTGTGGTTGTATTTAAACAAAAACACAACAATGCGTCGAGAGCATGTGTGCAAATTCTCCGATAATAACAAAACAACTGTGCCCCAATTGTGTGTGCGTGTGTGTCGAATTGCTTGTCAAGGCAAATAACAGTTTCCCTTTTCACTGACTGCTGTTAAATTGACGGATGTCTGTTAACTGTATTTATCGATAATCGATAAATCTAACAGCTGTGTGAATAATAGTTTAAGGAAATTTAGTTTTTTTAATAATTTTTTAAAAGCAAATACAAGGCATGGATTTTTGAAAGAATATTTTTTCAGGGCTACCAAAAGGCGTGGATTTTTTAAAGAATATTTTTTCAGGACTACCAAAAGGCGTGGATTTTTTAAAGAATATTTTTCAAGGCAACCACAAGGCGTGGATTTTTTAAAGAATATTTTTTTCAATCAACCACAAGGCGTGGATTTTTTAAAGAATATTTTTTTCAAAGCAACCACAAGGCGTGGATTTTTTAAAGAATATTTCTTCAAGGTTCCAAGACGTGGATTTTTTAAAGAATTTTTTTTTTTCAAGTAGCCAGAAGGCGTTGATTTTTTAACGTATACTTTTTCAAGGCAACCACAAGGCGTATATTTTTTTAAAGAATATTTTTTCAAGGCCTCCATAAGACGTGGATTTTAAAAGAATAGTTTTTCAAGGCATCCCCAAGGCGTGGATTTTTAAATGAATATTTTTTTAAAGCCATCCGCAAGGCGTGGATTTTTAAAAGAATAATTTTTTTAAGCCATCCGCAAGGCGTAGATTTTTAAAAGAAAAAATTTCAAGGTCTCCATAAGTCGTGGATTTTTTAAAGAATATTTTTTTAAGCCATCCGCAAGGCGTAGATTTTTAAAAGAAAAATTTTCAAGGTCTTCATAAGTCGTGGATTTTTTAAAGAATATTTTTTCAAGCCCTCCATAAGGCGTAGATTTTTTAAAGAATATTTTTTCAAGGCGTGGATTTTTTAAAGAATATTTTTTCAAGGCGTGGATTTTTAAATTATATTTAAATCTAGGCCTCCATAAGGCGTAGATTTTTTAAAGAATATTTTTTCAAGGCGTGGATTTTTTAAAGAATATTTTTTCAAGGCGTGGATTTTTAAATTATATTTAAATCTAGGCCTCCATAAGGCGTAGATTTTTTAAAGAATATTTTTTCAAGGCGTGGATTTTTTAAAGAATATTTTTTCAAGGCGTGGATTTTTAAAGAATATTTTTTCAAGGCGTGAATTTTTTTAAAAATATTTTTTCAAGGGAACCACATGCCGTGGATTTAGGTTAGGTTTGGGTATGTTCAGTCACTAATGTGGCTGCAGCACTCTGAGACCTTCAGGTCCATTGTGATCACGAAAAGATAAAGATATGAAGAAATCTATGGGTAAAAAGAAGGTGGGATAGAAAGAGATGAGAAACTTTGAAGGAAGTGTGAGAAGTATCGATAGCTATAGAGGTCGGACAAAAAATATATTACGTGCCAAGATTGCAGTTTTCCAACCACTCTAGTTTAGATCAGGTTCCGTTGTAGGCCAGGACTGGACAGCGACCTCCTCGTAAACACAGAGTCTACAGTAAAGAGTAGCATCATTATCCCATTTACTGGTAAAAGCTCTGATATTGCAATGACCAGTAATGACCAGCGACTGTTCTTTCATTACCCATGATGTCACGGTGTCCTGGTACCCAAAAACAGCCGATATCTGTAAGTAAGTAAGTAATTTGATGGCTTTAAGAGCCGCTTGACTATCCACAAAGATATTCACCGGTTCAATGATCTCTGCATCCAGATCTTTTATCAATTTCGCTGCCTTCCAAATCGCACTACAGTTACTATCCAGCTTGTAGGTAAACTCAAGGCCTAGCATTTGACAGTAGACGCCAGCCCCTATATAAATCCCACAAATAACGGTACCTCCGATGACTTTCGATATTTTGAAGATTTCAGACACGTTCTTCAATTGAACTGACTCTAATTTCACAGTTGGTGATCTGATTGGTTGGAAAATCTTCCCAAAATTATCAATATCGTTTCACCATTAAAATGGTGGACCCAATTTTTTGTTTTTTTAAGATTGTTGACACCCAATGAATCCATCCAATATTTTTAACTATCGGTCGATGTTTTGGTATTTCCTGACCAATATAAGGTCCAATCCTTTTACTGAAAAAGAAAAAAGTTTAATCTTAGTGTAAGACTGATTCTCGCATCGTTTACCAATTATATGATGTAATTTTTCGTTCCTTTTATGACATATGAACCTCCTAATTTCCAAATTTACTCTTCATCTTTCATTACTGCCTCACAATATAAAGATTCATCCACTTTATAGGTATTTTAATGGTCTTAGGTTCACTTTCCATCAGAAAACTGGTGGGTACATAACGTATTCTTAACCCTTTCAGTGTCAAAAAAATTATTTGTCGGAATAAAAATCTAAAATTTTGTACTTAAAATCATATGAAGGCATAGAGTTTAGAAAAAAGAGCAATTTTCATTTTAACCCTCAGACAGTTTCGTCTGTTTTTTCAGCAAAACATCAATGTTAACGGTACATAGGATAACGGAAAAATCGCAAAGAAAGAGAGAATTTTTAAATATCGAATATATTCGACAAAAACACTGAAAGGGTTAATCGAATATATTCAATATAAGTCCAGCATAGGCCCATACATAAAGTCACGTAACAATTTCGGTATGATCAAGATTTTAATTCATCAATATTTTGGTATTGCCCCACAATATAAAGGTCCAATCACTTTTTAGGTATTTTGATGATCGTAGGTGCAGTTTCTAACCGAAGTAACTATGTTTTGGCATAATGAACTGGCTGTAAATTAGTATTCAAGGAATTTTGTGGGCAAACATCTTTTTTACAGAACATTTTCAGGTCAATATGTCTACATTGCCCCATGCAAAGGCCACGCTTCCTTGCGGTATGTTCAAAAACTTAGCCCATACTTTAAAAAGTTCATAGAGAAGAGGAATTAATCCAAGCATCACATTGACCTCCAAATTTCCGCATACTTATCCTTAATATAATATTGATAATATGGCATATATTAAATTTAAGGCCCGACGCGGATTTTTCATACTACGAACTGGCAGCAATTTAAGTCGATGTTTCTACACAGGGCCTAGCCAAACTTCCCAACCACAAGTTTCTCTATTTTAGTATTTCGTTTTCACAGAGTATAAAATACACTCGCCAACATTTTAACATCGGATAGTTCTCGTAAAAAGTTCCGGTAGATTTCAATTTATTTGTATATCCACCTAAAAGGCCGAACTTAATGACCTTGTCTAAGAATATTTTCTTCAAGGATCAACAAAAAGTGGATTTCTAAAAGAATATTTTTTCAGAACTGTATGTAGCGTAGTTTTCAAACCAAATATACAAGTCTTGGCACATTGTCAAGCGTTGCCATATTGTCAAGCGTTGCCATATCTTATTTCCCACAAAAATACCCAACTACAAACAATATACCGAATATTTACCGAACTAAGTACCCATTAGTATTGCATCTCTAGGAATACGCGAAATTATTGGTCAATAGTTTAACTCTTGTATTTATTAAACTAAAAAAAGAAATATAGAAAAAACAATAACATTTTTTTTTGCATTTTTTGTGTAAAAGTTTTAAACAAACTTTTCTAAACGCCAATAGTTCGTCAATACTCAATAATACTGGGGAACGAAATTCTGTAAAGATTTTGTTGGCTTATACCACTTGGCCACTGTAGAAGAAGCGGCAGCAAACCGAAGAAAAAAGCAAAAGGAAAAATCATTTGGAGAAATTTCGAGGTTCGAAATAGCCCTGACATTATTTAAAAGTTGGAGTAACAAAATAACACTATTTCAATTACCTATTTTAGAAAATCCCAGAATAATAGGCGATACAATATTTCGCCATTGCCACGGCAGAAAGGCGCGGACAGCATTGTGCCTAACCGGGGTGACATCCCATCATAATAACACGCTTTAAATTTGGAGCCTCAAAAACAAAAACATGAAATGGGTAAGTGCCACTAGTAACTCTCTAGGAATAGTTATGGAACATTAACTTAAAAATCCCAAGCATAATTCGAAATACACACAATACAATTGTCATAAATTCCCCAAATTCTATTTTGAGTTTTTCCTATAAAATTACCTATGGGAGGTATTCAAAAATGGAGGGACTGCGTTGCATTTATCGAAAACCGAAACCAACACGGCATTACGTTCTTGAAAATATTTTATACGCAAATCCAGAGTATGCATACCTTGAATCCGCAAATAAAAGAACCATCAAAGTGCAGTTCTTAAAATAAATAAAAAAATAACGTTTTTAAGTTCGACTGGTCACAACTTTTTCATTTATTTATTTTTATTTAAAATACCTAAAATCGATTGGGAGAAAGCGAAATAACCATGGCCCAAATGAACAGGTCGTGTAAGAAGGTAGAAAATCCCTAAAACAGTCAGTCATTTTGACAGCTCGGGTGAAATCATCTGGTCTTATCCGAAGACCTTATTATTGGGCCATGGAAATAACAAACTGCATACATTCATATTGCGAACATTGAACTAGCACCTTGAACGTACCGAAAATGATGCGTGACCTTTTCTGCCAGGAAAAGATGAATAAATTAATCGTGCCCTCTTAGGTGAACAAAAATGGATCGGGGTAGTGCTCTTAAATTAATAAACTACGATGGTTAAAAAGAATAAAATAAAGGTATGGTGTAAGGAGTTAATGACCCAGTGCTGGCGGCAATCGGTGAGATCACAGGCCACGTGTCGTCGAGATCAAGCGATTGTGATACGGCTGCTCTAGGTGTGGATGTCTTGGCACCTGCAGCTGTATCTGCTACAAGCGCATCAATTTCCCGAATAACGTTGACGAACCGGCAATTGAAATGTCAAACGAGACAATAAAAACTAATGGAAATCAGTGTATGACTGACAGGACTGTAGTTCTGGGAAGGGACAACCTACACGGGACCCTTAACGCTATCCGCGATAGTTTAGAGGAGCCGAGTAGGGAAATCTTCGAAATCTTAGACAGATTTGTACCGGAAGAACAATGTTTGGGGATACGCTTCCGGAGAAACTGCTACTAAATCTTACCCTGACTATGATGAGCTGGACACCACAGTGATTCCGACCAAGTCTACACAGGGCGATTGTTGTAGCCTCAACAAAGGAAGAGCTTGTTGACCGACCGACTTCAGGTCTGTCTCTAACAGGTCCTGTGCATACACTTCAGAGGCAAACTGCGACAGAGGAGATGTCCGACGATGAGGAATCTATCGATGGATGAAGGTACAGGGGCTGGTGTCTACTGTGAAAGGTCTTGGGCCTTGAGTTAACCTACAAGCTGGATAGCAACTGTAGTGTTTTCCAAGCCGAAATCTTCGCGATTGATAAAAAGTCTGGATGCAAAGATCGTTGAACTGGTAACTATCTTTGTGGATAGTCAAGCGGCTCTTAAAGCCATCAAATACTGTTACATCAAACCTGAGGCCATCCTCAAGTGTAGAAGAGCTTTGAAAGAACTTACTTACAGCTATCGACTGTGTTGTGTAGCAGGACACTGTGACATCATAGGTAATGATGTCAGCAGACGAATTAGCTAGACGAGGATCTCAATTTACAGATCTAGCAATTCATTGTTCAATCAAACCACCCATATATCATTTTTTTCGGAATTTTGAGGCTATATGTGGTTATATATGTGCCTACCCAAGGCGTGGATTTTTTAAAGAAATCATTTTTTCTGGGTCTAGTCAAGGCGTGGATTTTTTAAAGAAATCTTTTTTTCTGGGTCTAGTCAAGGTGTGGATTTTTTAAAGTTTTTTTCTGGGTCTAGTTAAGACGTGGATCTTTTAAAGTTTTTTCTGGGTCTAGTTAAGGCGTGGATCTTTTAAAGAATATTTTTTCTGGATCGTCTAGTCAAGGCGTGGATCTTTTAAAGAATATTTTTTCTGAGTCGTCTAGTCAAGGCGTGGATCTTTTAAAGAATATTTTTTCTGGGTCGTCTAGTCATGGCGTGGATCTTTTAAAGAATATTTATTCTGGGTCGTCTAGTCAAGGCGTGGATCTTTTAAAGAATATCTTTTCTGTAGAGACGTTTTAAATTGACAACAAATAGTGCTTCGAAATTTAATGGATATTAAAAAATTGAAAATTGGTCAACCTAATTTGTTTTATAGTATAAATATTTAATTATTTTTTTTAAATATAATTTCTAAGCAGATCAATTCAAATTGTGTATTTTTGAATTTGAAATTATTTTTTTTTATATACTTGATGATTTTTGGTTTTTAATAAAATAAAAAATTCAATTATGGGAAGAAGTTAGGCTTTTGATAACATAAAACATTTTGTGTATAACAATTCCATTTATAATCTTTCAAAAAATATCTCATTCATAAAACTTCACACATTCGTAAAGAAATAAAACACACAAAAAAACTATTATATAATAATTAAAACAACAATAATTAAAATTATTAAAAACAAATTTCCAAATAATAGTTATTTCTATTTTTCTACTCTTTTTTTCTCTCTTTCCATATTTGTATTTCTCTTTTTTATTATATATTATATATACTTTGCAGGCATTTTATGCGCCGTATTGCAAAACTCGCCAATATAACACAGTGTGAAGGATGAAAAATAATATTCAATAATTTAGATTTAAATAATTTGCTAAAATATTTTCGTTAAAAGAAACTCCTCCCACAAAGAATTAGTATTTTACCACTGAACAACAAACGACAACCATCAATTGTATTTTTTAGAAACTATTTTGTTCAAATAAAACGTGGCTGACGTCGCAGCAACAAAGTCATCTGCAACAATTGATGTAAGTAGCAAGAAATTAAAATAGTGAAAACATTGTTTTTGTTTGTTTTGGTTTCGTTTTTTTTTTCCTTATTTTGCCCTCCGCCACTTCCTCCTTTTATATTATCCTTAAGGACTGTTGAATTGTTTTGGAATTTGTTTTTTTTACGTTTGATATTAGTTTTTTTTATAATTTCCATTGTGTTTTTTGTTTATTTTAAATTTCATCACTGCAATTGATCTGCTTATATGCTAAATTATATTTTTTCTAGATATAATATTCCAACATTATAATACTTCTCATTATAATTATACAATTGATTAAAAAAAATTAGCCGAGCCTACCTTATTTATGTCCACGATTATGTATGCCAGAATTATAATGAAGAGTTTTTTATACACCCATAATCTGAAAAATAATATTTTTTTTAAACAACCCACGCTTGAAGCCCCGATTAAAACAATGTTTCTATAATATCCTAATGATCCATTGAAAAAAAAAATTTATTAAAAAAAATTTTGATTAAAAATAAGTAAACAAGTGTCAGTTGATATTGGCGAGCGATGTATACCCCCGGAGGTCTGCGGAATTACTTAAGACTGGTTTCATTATTCCCTTCATATACGGTACATGTTTTTATCAAATAGTTGACCGACCATCTGTATCTGATCCATAGAAATATATGTTTGAATGTTTGTGGAGGAGATACCAGAATTAGCGGATCGATGGGTCCCATCTTCGGACTTCATATTGGTTTTGTAAAATTATTACGATTTGCAAAGTTTGGGCCAAACCAGACATTGCATTCGTTTAATATTGAATTTACAAATTTTTCAAAATATTGCCCCTTTGTGGGGGAGGTACCAGAATAAGCGGGCCCAAGGGTCCCATCTTCGGGCTTGATATAGGTTTGGTAAAATTATTATGATTTGCAAAGTTTGGATGACATCGGGCATTCTATTCGTTAGATATTGAATTAACAAATTTTTAAAATTTAGACAATTTGTGGGGGAAGTACCAGAAGGAGTGGATGGATGGGTACCGTCTTCGGACATGATCCAGTTTTGGTAAAAATATTAAGATTTGGAAAGTTTGGATGACATCGGACATCGCATTCGTTTGATATAGAATTAGAATGTGAGGGAGGTACTAGAAGGAGGTGGCCGACGGGTCCCATCATCGATATGATATGATCTAGGTTTGGAAAAGGTATTATAATTTGCAATGTTTGGATTAAATCGGACATTGAATTCGCTTAATATTGGATTTAAAAAAATTGAAAATTTTGACCTTTTGTGGGGGAGATACTAGAAGAAGTGGACCGATATTGATAATTTTTGGTAGGTAGATTATCTAGTCAATGAGAACTCAAAATTGAAAAAAGAGCCAACTCGTTTGAAAATGATGTCTAAAATCTTCAAAATAATCGAAATTAGGTGGAATCATATGAAGGTTATACGTTATCATGGGCGGATACTCATAATTTTTGGTAGGGAGATCTTCTACCCATTTTGATAATTTTTGGTAGTAAGATTTACTACTCAATGAGAACCTAAAATAACAGATTACAGCCATTCCGATTAAAAACTAGACAAGAAATATCGAAATTCGGGAGGTGCCTTAATATGGGATCTAACCTAAAAAGTTGACCAATATTGATGATTCTTGGTGGGAAGATTTGCCACCCAATCAGAAACCGAAATACCAGATTACAGCCTTTTCGGTTGAAAAACTTGACAAAAACTCCCCAGAATACCGAAATTCAGAAGGTACGGTAATATTGGGCCTATTTTAAAAAACGGACCAATATCAATGATTCTTTGTAGAAAGGTTTACAACGAACGAATTCAAAATACCACATTGCAGCCAATTTGATTGACAAAACGTGACAAAATCTCCAAAGTACCGAATTTCGGGAAGTTCCGTAATATGGGAGCTATTCTAAAAAGTTGAGCAATATTAATGATTTTTAGAAGGAAGATTTGCTACTCAATAAGAACTCAAAATACTAAATTACAGCCAATTTGATTAAAAAACGTGACAAAAAACCCAAAATACCGAAATTCGGGAGGTCGCCTTAATATGGGATCTACCCTAAAAAGTTAACCAATATTGATGATTTTTGGTAGGAAGATTTGGCACCCAATGAGAACTAAAAATACAAATTTACAGTCAATTTGGTTGGAAATTTTGAAATTTCGGGAGTTGCTTTAATATGAGATCTACCCAAGAGTAAGCCAATATTGATTATTTTTGGTAGTAAGATTTACAACCCAATGAGAATTCAAAATACCACATTGCAGCCAATTTTATTAAAAAACGTGACAAAAACTTCCCATTTTTAAAAAAATAATTTTTAAGGAGTCTTACAATTCCTTCCCAGTTGTACAAAAAATATCAATTGTCTGCTATTATATAGTTATATAGCTAGTTACTTGGTGATCTAGTTACTTCATACCCCAAAAAGGAACACAAAATAGACTGTTGGATTTTTTTGTCAACTGAAAAAGTTGTTTACACACATCATACCAATTCAGTAGTTACTGGTAATGCAAAGGGTAATGAATCGACTATCGAAATGACTGTATACTGGTAACGCAGGCAGGGGACAATTGACTTCCCCAATGACATACACATGTTAAATTCACCAGTCTAGGGCATGAAGTGGTAACTAGTGGTACTTACAGGTAATTAGTAAAATATCTAGTTCATCACCAGTTACTCGAACTACTGGGTTTCGTTCTAATTTTATTTCTTCCTATTATTTTACCCTTAGCTTTATTATTTTTTTATTTACACACACCAACAACATAATCAAAAAATCACCCCAAGTCCACTGTTAGTTAACACACATTAAAATCGTTTAAACCAAAGTTCTCGCCATCTTTACAGGCAATGCCTTCAGCAGTAGGTGGTGCCGGTGGTGGTCATGGTTCGGGTGGCCATAATTCAAATATACCCAGCAATGAAGAGTGCGGCATACGCGATGTCTGGAAACATAATCTAGAAGAAGAATTTCGTACTATACGTAAAGTTGTACAAAAATATCATTATGTGGCAATGGATACAGAATTCCCGGGAGTGGTCGCCCGACCTGTTGGTGAGTTTCGTTCAACATCGGATTATCATTATCAGCTACTGCGTTGCAATGTCGATTTGCTGCGCATCATACAATTGGGTCTCACATTTATGGATGATGAGGGTAAAACCCCACCCGGCTATAGTACATGGCAGTTTAATTTTAAATTTAATTTGAGGTGAGTTTGAGAATTCATTCTAATTGTTTTTTTTTTTTAATTAATTTTTTGTTGGTTCCTTTGTTTCCAGCGAGGACATGTACGCCCAAGACTCAATTGATTTGCTACAAAATTCCGGCATACAATTTAAAAAACACGAAGAGGATGGCATTGATCCTTTAGATTTTGCCGAACTCCTTATGTCATCGGGCATTGTTTTGGTTGACAACATCAAATGGCTATGCTTCCATTCGGGCTATGATTTTGGCTATCTGCTGAAATTGTTAACCGATCAAAATCTACCCGCCGATGAGAGTGAATTTTTCGATTTGCTGCACATCTATTTTCCGAATATCTATGACATTAAGTATTTGATGAAATCGTGTAAGAACTTGAAGGGTGGCCTGCAAGAGGTGGCCGATCAACTGGAATTGCGACGCGTCGGACCACAACATCAGGCCGGTTCCGATGCCCTGCTAACGGGAATGGCATTCTTTAAAATGCGTGAGGTATATAATGAAAATAATAATTTTGAAATCGAACCCACATCAACATTTTTAGATTATGCTGTGGAATTTAATAACAATAATATTTGAAAATTTTGGAGGATTTTTTGTTTGTTTCATGAATTAACATTTGAATTCCATTTACTTTCATACAAACATTTTACTAATCATTTTTTTCATGTAACCATTTTTGTTATTTTTTTTTTATAATTTTTGTTTTCCTGAGAAAACTATAAATTGTTATTTTTTTCATATTGAAATCTTATGAATTTTTTATGCCCCGATTTTTTTTTTTAATTTTAATTTTTAACAAGAAATAATTTTCAATTACGGGGAATTGCCTTTACAACATGAATCTCAATATCTTATTTATGTATATACAAATATGTTCCTTATATTAAACTAGTTTTTAGTTTAAAAAACACAACAACAACTACAAAAAACTCTTAAATGAATTGTTAATGAAGTTATCTGTATAGAGTTTCCATTTTTGTTTTCTTTTCTTTTTTATTAACATTGTAATTTGTTATCAATTGAATTGATTTTGTTTTTATTTTAAATTAAAAAAAAAATATGCTAATGTTTTTATAAAAACATATTAAAAAATTTCCAATTGGTATTTTTATTTCAAAATTTCGTTTTCTAAATTTTTTCTTATTTTCAAAAAATATGAACTTGTTCCGAGCGCGAGCCAATGAAACTTCATTAACAATTTCTAAAGATTTTTATCAAAAATTTTTGAATTGAAAGAAAATTTAAAATATCAAAAAAATATTCTGTAATTTTTTACACCTAAAATCATTGGCTCCACAGGAACAAGTTCATATTTTTTTCAATGGTTTGAAATGTTTGAAACATTTCCTTCCACTTTGATTCGAAATACTTTCCCTAAGGGAAATATTAACTGAATCAGGCTTCTCATATTAAAATATGGTTTGGTAATGTGTTATAAGCATATTTTTGTAAGTATCCACCATCATTAACCATCATTAATTGAAATGAATGCAAATTGTATTCAAATGCCATTTACGTAAATCATTTTCATTATTATTTGTTAATTTTTGTATTTTGTAAATACTTAACCTCAAATTTTTACTAACAAATTTCCATTATAAATGAGCTAAAGAGGCTCTTTATAAACGAGCTGAAGCACGGATTTGTAGGCGAGCTCAGAAGCGCGAAATGAGGCACGGATTTATAGGGTCTTTATAGGCGAGCTGAAGCAGGGAGTCTTTATAGGCGATCTGAATGAAGTCCTTATAGGCGAGCTGAAGCAGGGAGTCTTTATAGACGAGCTGAAGCAGGGAGTCTTTATATGAAAGCTGAAACGAGTCTTTATAGGCGAGCTGAAACGAGTCTTTATAGGCGAGCTGAAGCGAGTCTTTATATATGCGAGCTGAAGCAGGGAGTCTTTATAGGCGAGCTGAAGCAGGCAGTCTTAATAGGAGAGCTGAAGCAATGAGTCTTTATAGGCGAGCTGAAGCATGGAGTCTTTATAAGCGAGCTGAAGCAGGGAGTCTTTATAGGCGAGCTGAAGCAGGGAGTCTTTATAAGCGAGCTGAAGCAGGGAGTCTTTATAGGCGAACTGAAGCAGGGAGTCTTTATAGGCGAACTGAAACAGGGAGTCTTTATAGGCAAACTGAAGCAGGGAGTCTTTATAGGCGAACTGAAGCAGGGAGTCTTTATAGGCGAGCTGAAGCAGGGGGTCTTTATAGACGAGCTGAAGCAGGGAGTCTTTATAGACGAGCTGAAGCAGGGAGTCTTTATAGACGAGCTGAAGCAGGGAGTCTTTATAGATGAGGGTATTTATGGACTATCTGGAGGGAGGCTAGGAAATTTTCTATATACGTAATATATAAAGTAGATTTGCTATCTGTGTGGACATTTATGGGAGACCTTTTACTTATGGAAGATCTATTAAGGGCTATTTTACTTCTAGAAGAAGACCATCAAATAGTATACCTTCCATGTGGCTTCATTAACCTCCAAGGCTATTACGAACACACCTCCAAAAATTCTTCTCTCATTACCAATTTATTTTCATTTTATTTGCCTTCCCTTTCATTTGCAGATGTTCTTCGAGGATAATATTGACAATGCCAAATATTGTGGACACTTGTATGGCTTGGGCACATCATTTATTGTCAACGGAGCCAATTTCCACGAAAGTAATGGTGAAAATACAAATGCAACGTGATTTATAATCGAGGAGCGAACGCAAAATATTTTTGCACATAATTTAAAATAAAAAAAAAAAAAACAACAACAAAACAAAATAAAACAAAAACAAAAAATAAATTAAGAACAAACAACAACAATGGTTAAAACCACAACAACAAAATACTTCTCATGATAATGGCAAATAGAAATGTGGAAAAAACACTAAAACCTAATCCAACACCAGATGCAGCCAGCCCAAGTCCCCGAACATAAAAATAATTTATAAAAGAAAAATTTGCAAAAAATAGAAATTATTATAGAAAATGTTTTTACAAAAAATTTGCAATAGCATACGTACACAGATACATTTACACATACATATATATTCAGAAAAAAAACTATTAGTCTACCAAAAAAAATGAAAAAAACAAAAAAATATACCCAAAAAAATCGTAAAATTAAAAAAAAAGAAAATTAAATATTTAAAAAAATAAAATACAAATATCTTATAAAGAATATGTTGGTTGATTGTGTAAAGCCGTTCTCTCTTCCTTCCGCATGATAAACATACACAGAACAAATGAAAATATATCCTCACTATCTCTCGCGTTCTTTCTCTAAGGAAACAAAAAAGATTATATAGCATCATTATCTTCTACCCAATGTCGTCGTCCTCAGTCCCCCCAAAAACCTAAACACACACACATACATTTTTTTATAAAACAAAACACAAACTAATGTAATTACTAAGTAAACAAAGCATTATAATAGTTATTAATTACAACAACAAATTATTATATTATATAAAAAATTAAAATAAAAAAAAAACTCGTAATTATTTTAAATATTTTAAAAAAACATGAGTTGTTTTACTTTTTTGAAGAGGGAACCGAGGAGAGTATTTGTATAAAAATTGAAGATAGTCTTTAAAGGAAGGTCAGCTTTATTGGCGGGCTGAAGATTGGCTTTATAGATGAGAAGATAGGATTTTTATGCGAACTGAAGCGAGTATTTTTAGGCGATCTGAACCGAGTCTTTATAGGCAAGCTGAAGCAAGTCTTTATAGGCGAGCTGAAGCGAGTCTTTATAGGCAAACTGAAGCAAGTCTTTATAGGCGAGCTGAAGGCAGTCTTTATAGGCGAACTGAAGGTTCATAGTCAAGCTGAAGGGAGTCTTTGTAGACGATGAGCTGTCCAAACCCACAATATTTGTCCGATTCAAACAAAATTTTGCATAGTCTACTGAATTAGGTCCATATTGATGTATACGAAGTTTTGTTGAAATCGGTTCAGATTTAGATATAGCACCCATACATAGTTTCTTCCGATTTTTGAGTAATGGTGCACCAAACTCACAATGATTGTCCGATTGAATTAGGTCCATATTGATGTATACGAAGTTTTGTTTAAATCGGTTCAGATTTAGATATAGCTCCCGTATATAGTTTCGTCCGATTTTATGTAAATGGTGCACCAAACTCCCAAGGATTGTCCGATTCAAAAAAAAAAAAAATTGCACAGCGTAGTGACTTAAGTCCAGTTTGATGTCCGTGAATTTTTGTTGAAATCGGTTCAGATTTAGACATAGCTCCGTTTATATTTTCGTCCGATTTTAACTAAATGGTGCACCAAACTTCCAATATTTGTCGGATTGAAACAAAATTTTGCACAGCGCACTGAAATATGTCCATATTGTGTTGTATGCGAAATTTTGTGGAAATCGGTTCAGATTAAGATATAGCACACATATATAGTTTCGTCCGATTTTTGGTAAATGGTGCAACAAACACCCAATATTTGTCCCATCCTTACAAAATGTTACACAGCGTACTGACTGACATAAGTCTAGTTTGATGTCTGTGAAGTTTTGTTGAAATCGGTTCAGATTTAGATCTAGATCCCACATATAGTTTTGTCCGATTTTTGATAAATGTAGCACCAAACTCCCAATATATGTCAGATTCAAACAAAATTTTCAGTATGTCCTGTACCGACTCAATTGGCCTCCGAATTGCTGGGGCAAGCTCCCGGCGGCCAGAGTCCGTCACAGAAATTTATTTCTGTCAGCGACAGGAGTAAGGAAATAAGTCTTCTGATTTTTTTAGTGTAGATGGGTTTTATTGTTAAGGTTTTCGGCACAGTTGATACTGGGGATATTGTCAGAGACTGGAGTATGTATTGCGGCACCGTTGGTACGGAGAATAAGACCGGGATTAAGCTAGCGATCTCGCCGGGGAAAATTGCCCTGAACAGTCTCCTGGATGACTGAAGCACCGGTGCGTTATGTAGGCGTAGTAGCTTAGGACAACCGCTGAGAAACAGTCCCTTGAATGACTGGAGGCCTGGAGTCGACGAGGCGAGAATGGCGCCCCCTCCCATATATCCATCTCAAGGTTTGGGACACTACCTTCTTAAAGTGTCTCCCCTAACGCTGGGGTGTCATGCGACCTCGTGCCTATCAGCGTTCCACGGTTTGCAGTCAGGGTACCGACTGTATTAGAACGGAGCCTTGTTGATACCTGGGCGCCTCAACAAGTGTTTCAGGCTTAGTTGCCAAGTCCTTTCCATGGTAAGAGGCTATGCCATGGTCGACCTCAAATCCTCACTAACAGCACTTTTTATGGAGCCAATTTTTAATACACCCCCCCCCCCCCCCAAAAAAACAAAACAACAATGAATGCGAACCTTCGACTGATGTTGGTGTGGCTGCCTTGGCACCCTCAGTCCCGAACTCTACAAGGTCAGACATCAATGATTCCCCCAAAGTGTTGACGACCCAAGCAATTCCCCTGGACCTATCTTTAGCCACCTGTCCATCTCTCGATGACGTAAATGCGAGCCTGGAGAGGCAGTCGAATCTTCTCCTCGACCTTCTAGAGGAAACCGACTCCTTCCGCCTCAGTCAGGAGAGCATCCCAAATCAGCTCTGGGATGACTCTCTCTTGTCGGACGAGGATGACATTATGGAAACCACCGTTATTAGAACCACGGTGATAAGTACGGTAGAAACCATGATGTCTCCCCTGAAGCAAGGAGGGTCCCCTCGGCTGACTAAGGAGGCAAACCCTGGCGAGGTTGAAGACGTTGACTCAACCTCCACGGCCTGCAGTGACGTCGCGAGGCTTCTAAGGCAGTTGGCTGTCGAAGCAGATGCTGGCACCGATGAGGCTCCCATCGTTAAGATGGATGATTCATCGGTACCATTATCTGATAGACAAGCTGACGCTAAGGAGATCGCTGCCAAGAAAATGTATCGGAGAGCAGTAAATTTCTGCAAACGGTACATTGGACGGGACAGCGACTCCATCACGGGTAAGGAGTTCCTGTTAATCAAGAGGAACCTCAAACTCATTAGGAAGTTCTCTAGGAACTATCCTGATGACATTGAGAGGGACTTCTTGATTGACAGGATCCCCCGACCCAGTACTAAGACCACGGCGGTAGTCCCTTCTAAGAAGGAGAAACCTGCTGATGGCCCCGGTACATCCAGGAAGCTGATGCCTGAGACGTCTAAGCCCTCAGCACCCCCAAAGGGTAAACTGAGTACTGAGACGTCTCAGACATCAGAATCCACAAAGACAGAAGGCAGGGGACTGTCGAAGTCGGCCCGAAAGAGAGCCCGCAAAAAGGCCTCCAAGAAGACCGATAAGGCACAACCGCCCTCTGTCAATCCACCTTCTGCCGAATTGCCAAAGCTGACAGCCAAGGCGGTGACAATTGGGCAGTCGTCAGTGGTCAAGCAGAAGGTAGCGGACGCGAAGCAGGTGCCTGCGTCTGCTGGGCATACCTCTGTGGTAGCTGCTACCCCGGGTGCCAAATCTCGGCCACAGCCCACGGCTGTCAAGAGAATGAGGTCCTCGGAGGAGCAACAACCTGCTGCAAAGAGGCCCACGCAGTCGTCGGCCGTACAGAGCTCTGCTTCCTTTGCTTCGGTGGTAGCGTCGAAGGAGAAACCTGCCAAGAGCAGCGATTGTGGGGTGAAAACCAAACACGCTGTCTCGAAGCAGGTAGCCCGGACACCTACAACTAAGCAAAGCGACTCTGCTGATCCAAAAGAGGTTCCGGAAGATCTGCGGGTAGCGATCATCGACCGAGCTGACCCTGACGGGTTTATCAGTGAGGAGAGATGGGAGCTGGTCGACAGCTATCTGAAGGACCTCTTCCTGTCCGACGAGGTTGATCGAGAGAGCCTGCGGTTTGGCCTGACCTCCTCTTACAAAGGAGTAAAGGTTGTTGATTGTCGCACTAAGAAGACTTCAGATTTTCTTAAGAAGACAATCAACAGCCTGGACCCCCTTTGGGAGGGTGGTCGTCTGGCGGCCGTAGCGGTTCAAGAGATACCGAGCGGTATGGTAACCTCGGTGTTTATCCCAAAACCTTTCAAGGGGCTGGAGAAGACACTGAGGTTATTGGAGAAGCAGAACGACGGCCTTCAGACGAGGAGGTGGAGAATCCTCGCCTCGTTTGAAAGGAACGGCGGTGTAGTCGCGAAGTTCGCTACCGATTCTGCGGGAGAGGAGTACTTGAGGAAGAACAAGGGTGAGCTTGTTTATGGAATGGGGAAACTTTGTTTCCGTCTCACCACTCCAAAACAATAGGCAGGCAGCAGCAAGCGCTTAACGTGATCCAGATAAATCTGCATCACTGTAAAGCAGCAGCTGCTGAACTGCTACTCACCCTTTCTTCCTCAAACATCGACGTGGCGCTCATCCAGGAACCTTACCTGTACAAAGGTAAGGTGACTGGACTGGGCGACACCAAATACACGCTTTTGTCTACCTCCAATGGAGAGAAGGTGAGAACGTGTATTCTTGCTAAAAAGGAGTTAAATTTAATGCTTCTTTCTAATTTCAGCAATGGAGATATGACGACAGCAAGACTAGACAGAGGTACCACGAAGCCACTGATAGTCTCTGCCGTCTATCTTCCCTACGAAGCTCCTGACCCACCCGGCACTGCTGTATGCCGCCTATTGGAGGAGATGAGTAGAGTTGGTGACCTCGTCTTGGGATGTGACGCCAACGCACATCACTTCTATTGGGGAAGCAGCAACACAAACACAAGAGGTGAGTCCATCTTCGAGTTTATACTTAGCTATAATCTTAGAATTTGTAATAGAGGCAATACACCAACTTTTGTAAATAGGGTGAGAGGTGAAGTCATTGATATAACCCTCACAAATATGGACGACTCTGGGGTCGTAAACTGGGAGGTGTCTGAGAAATGTTCCTTTTCGGATCATAGACTCATATCCTTCCAGATTCCTACCTCTAGAGTTAAACAGAAACCTTATAGGAATCCTCGGAAGACGAACTGGGACAAATTCAAAGCTAAAACAGCAGCCTCTTTTCGGGATCGTAATGATCTCAAAACGGTTGAGGATGTTGAATTAGCTGTGAAAAATGTCACGGCCACTCTTCTGAAGAGCTATGAGGCATCTTGTCCCCTGACATACCCTGGGAAGAAATCTCAACCGGTATGGTGGTCACAGGACCTTGCAACCTTGCGGAAGGCTGCAAGGAAAGCTTATAATAGAGCTAGTAAGACAAAGCTCAGTACAGATTGGGATGTCTATAAAAGACAATTCAATAGGTACAAGGGCGAAATCAAGAAAGCTAAACGTGAGTCTTGGGTCTGCTATAGCGAGTCGATCGAAGGAGTCAACGAAGCGGCCAGATTCCGCAGAGTACTCTCTAAGGATCCAAAATCCATAGGAAGTATTAAGCGAAGTGATGGAACGTGGACAAACTCTGGCAGTGAGACTCTTGATCTTCTATCATCAACCCACTTTCCTGGTTGTAAGGACTATAGGGAAGATGCGCAGTGTGTGCATCAGCCTACAGTTCGGACGAGGGAAGAGGAGAAGATGATAGAAGACACTATAAGATACCCAAAACTGATATGGGCGATAAATAGTTTTCAACCCTACAAATCTCCTGGTCCAGATGGTATAACACCGGCCATGCTGCAACACGCAGATGAACGGATAATATCATATCTGCAGGACATTTTTAGGGCTTGTTTACTTTTGTCGTACATACCCAGTCTATGGAAAGAGGTTACCGTGACCTTCATCCCGAAAGCCGGGAAGCCGAGTCATACGGTACCTAAAGACTATAGACCGATTAGTCTTTCTTCCTTTCTACTAAAAACTTTAGAAAGGTTACTAGACTCAGAAATTAGAGATACCATTGACCGTAATAAACTTAGTAAATCCCAACATGCCTATATCAAGGGCAGATCAGTGGATACAGCTCTGCATGAGGTGGTTGGATACATCGAGAAGAATATGGAGTCCTCTGGCTACACGTTGGCAGCATTCCTCGACATCGAAGGAGCTTTCAACAATGTGAAGCTAGAGGCAATCCATTCTGCTCTCGTAGACATAGGTATCCCCTCACTCCTTACGGAATGGATTGATAGAATGCTGGAAAGCAGAATTATCAACTCATCCCTAGGAGAGAGTTCCGTGAGGAAATCTGTCAACAGAGGCACACCTCAGGGTGGAGTTCTTTCCCCCCTTTTGTGGCTTCTGGTGATAAATGAGATACTTATGAAATTCAATCATCTCAGGATAAAGGTTGTAGCCTATGCCGATGATGTAGTCTTGTTGGTTGGGGGTAAGTTTATTACGACAATATCAGACATCCTGGAGGGTGCTCTTTCAACCCTGTCAAATTGGGCTTGCACCAAAGGTCTTGGTGTAAACCCCACAAAAACCGAACTGGTACTCTTCACTAGGAAATACAAAGTTCCTAGTTTCCGTCTGCCATCACTTGGTGGAGTGACATTAACTCTCTCTGATGAAGCTAAATATCTTGGCACTGTCCTAGACCGCAAGTTACTGTGGAATAGGAATGTCGAGGAACGCTCTAAGAAGGGATTGATGGCACTCTATTCATGCAAGAACTCCATAGGCAAGAGTTGGGGATTGAGACCCGGAATTATACACTGGCTGTATACGACGATTGTCTTACCCATACTTACCTATGGATGTCTTGTCTGGTGGCAGGGGGTGAATAAAAAGAAGCTGCTGACAAGACTGAGCTTAGTACAGCGATCGGCTTCAATTCTGATCACTGGAGCATTAAGAAGCACACCACAAGCAGCCTTGAACGCAATCTTGAATCTCCAACCATTGGACATTCTGATCAAATTCCAGGCTGCTAGGTGTGCCCTGAGACTCCGGGAAACAGATGCCTTGAAATCGCGGAACTATGGTCATGCCAGCATTCTAAACATAACGCCAAGTTATGACCTTTTTAGGGGGGATAGTCATATCAGTGATTATATTCCCCCCCACAGGGATTTTAATGACATTAAAGTCGAATTTCCTAACAGGGAATCCTGGACTAGTGGCTCCCTACCTCTGCCAGGTCTGTCAATCTTCACAGACGGGTCCAAGATGGAAGAAGGCACTGGCGCAGGCGTCTACTGCAGGGAATTAGGTATACGAAACTCATATAAACTCAACAATGATTGTAGCGTTTTTCAAGCAGAGATTCTTGCAATCACGAAAGCGGCCGAGATAGTAAAAGCACTTAATACAGACTTTACAGGACCGGTGACTATTTACGTAGATAGTCAGGCGGCCCTGAAAGCGGTGAAGTCGCATACTATAAACTCGAAAGCAGTTCATGATTGTAAGACCGCTCTGAATGATATACGTCAAATAGTTGGGTTATGCTGGGTTCCAGGACATAACGATATTGAAGGGAATGAGATAGCCGACGAGCTTGCTCGAGGGGGGTCACAGTCGTCCAGTCTTCTGATTGAGAGATCTGTGAAACCCCCTATTAGCTATTTCATTGGCAGAATCCGTGCGTTCTATTGCGAGGTAGTCGGCAACAGATGGCTAAGGGAACCTGCATGCAGAATCTCTAAATCTATCTGGCCAGAATTCTCTCATAAAAGAACGTCTTCGCTGCTGGATCACAACAAGAGGGAGATTAAGATCGTTGTGGGGATCATTACTGGTCACTGCAAAGTTAGATCTCTCACTTCTAAGTGGGACTCCAGTGGAGAGGATTACTGTCGTCTATGTGAGGATGAAGAAGAAGTGGAAACAATTGAGCACATCCTTTGCAAATGTCCATCGCTGATCAGCAGAAGACATAAACAGTTTGGATGTTATGAAATTGATAATCTAGTCTTCTTCTCCAAAATAGACCCTAACCTAATTCTAGGCTTTGTCAAAAAATTGACTTGGCTAAAATAATGTCTCTTCCGCTTCCGCTCCCTCCTATTCTGACTACCTCTCTCTCTACTCTTCCACTATCTTTTCTTCTCTCTCTTTATAGGTACACCTATACATAATGGATGATCACAATGGACATAGTCTCCGAGTGGACGGTTGTTCGTTCGCCCTTTTATAGGACCGTCGTCACAACCTTCAGGATCACGTCTAGGTATTCATCATGATTTTCTTTGAGCTTCTGCTTTACCACTCTCCTGGCATTTTATTGTTATACATTGATGCTATTGCCGGATCTTCGGTCTCATAAATAATTAACACTTCCCGGAATTTATCCAATAGCTGGAGAAGCTGTGAACGTTTAAGATTTTCAAAATACATTATCTCTTCCAGATGATGTTCACTTTTAAAATAACCCGCCTGATACAGTTTGACCATTAACGACAAATCATCCAGATTGGCTGAGGCTGGTATACGCCGAATGGCTGGCCGATCGGCATCATCGAATACCTGTAAAAGTTCTTTAATTTTTTCCTCATCCTCGATGGAATCAATGCTGTCACAATTGTCTGTGCTCAGGGATGCTGTCATGCTGCAGATAGGGGGAAATGAGGGAGGTTAATTAAATCAGAAAATGATTAGTGAGGAATGGAACTTACCTAAAATTCGATTTGTGACTTGACGAGGGTTGGGCAGCAATATTTTCCGAGGTTGTTGAACCACCGGCCGAAAAACGATCTTCAGTAATGGAGCGGCGACTGGTGTGTGGCACGGGTAATGGTTGACTTGATAAACTTAACAACGAGCCGGCAACCCTATAACAAAAATTAAATTAATTTTTCAAATCATATTGAAGGATATTTTTGCTCGGTCCCAAACAGCAGGAATCTATGAATTTTTACTATGCTTCGTCGATTCTTGCAGTACGTGAACAAACCTAATATCTGTTCCAGAATCTGCAAGAATGTAAACATTTTTTTTAAGATAAAGATTGTTCCTTTATGATATCGAATAAAGGAAACAGTTTTATCGCAGTGCAAAATTTGTACATTCTTGAAGATCCTGGCAATGTTATTAGGTATGTTTCCGTAATGCAATAGTCTACATATTTTTAGTAAAAATTTCTACATTCTTGGTGATTCTGAAACAGATATTATTTGCCCTTACATATCATCATCACTGTTGCTACTGCGGCCGGCAATTAACATATCATCCTGACCCAAAATGGAGCCAGCCAAATCCATTAATGAGGCCGATTCTAGTTCACAACCGGCACCCACATCATCATCCTCCTCCTGGTCATCACTACTGCTATCATCCATATCATCAACATCACCGGGCATAAACTGCACATAGGTATGCAGTTGCATTAGCAAATGATGTTGCAACATCCAGAGGACCATTTGCGCCAGAATGCCCTGTCGAGCCGATTGCTGTAGTGGTGTTGTCAAATGCCCAATACTGGTGGGCAATGAAAAATCCGATATCACCTCAAACAACGACATACCGGGAAAACGTGCCGAAAATTTCTCAACCAAATGTGATTTGGTGTGGAGCGGTGCATCCGGTGCTATAACATAAACATTTGTCTCACACAGCGGATAGATAATGGTGGCCTTGGCCCAATATACCAAATGTGATACCAGCTTATAGACATGTTCGATACTTAGATCCGCATCTGAGGCCATACTTTGTAAACTCATCAACGGCGTATAGACTTCAATCAGTTGGAAAAGCATTCGAGCCGCTGCTGGTGGGATACAATCGAGTAGTTCCACCACAGCAACCAGTAACAACATACCATGATAGGGTTTCAGCGATTTCAGGCAATCATCTATGGTTTCCGGATCAACCATACTGCCTTTCTTATGCAACTGATGGGCCTTGGCCGGCAGGCAAAAGCACAGTGTAAGATTCTGATTAATGGTGGCATTCAGCAGTCCCGTTGTACACAAATCATGGTATATGGATTTCAGCGATTGGGCCAGGGTACAACGTTCCGATATCAAATCGAATGCCCTCTCCAAGGGTAACTGCTGTGAAGAAACCTCATCATGGGTGCGTGTCATCAATACCGTTTCCTCGGTTAAATAACCCACTCGTTGTTCCTCCACCTTGAGGGCCAGGCCCAAACGTTTACTTAAATCATAATAACATTTCACAATTGAATAGCTGGCTTGGGCATGCAGAGCAAACACAATATTTACCAGCATTTGCTGTGGCTGTTGTTGCTGCTGGCCCACTCCTCCGGCTACCCCACCACTCAACGGATTAATAAAATTAGAACGTTGCATGGCAGGCTGTTGTTGCATTTGTTGCTGCTCCCGTCGCGGCACCAATGTCGGATGGCTAACAAATCTCACATCATTCACCTTCAGCTCGAATTTCTGATTACACAGCTGGGGTTTAACGGCAAAGAGTGGCGCCAAAACATCATCGGAGAAACCCTGCAAATGACCCGCCTTATTTACGGCAATATTTCCCGCACTGTTCAGCGGCTGTGTCTGCAGCAAATCATCACCGTTCTGCAAGGCGAAACGGTGGCGCTTCTTCTGCGGCACCTCCGAGAAACTTTTCTGTGTCAAACTACCGCTGCTATCAACATGCGGCAATGACGATGTACTATTTCCGGATGATGGCAGCTGGGTGTGGGCGGTTGTTGCCTTGTCGGCCGTATAGGGATATCGATAGAGCAAACGATCCCCCTTACTGTCCATATAGACAAGGATGACAGCGATGGGATTAATTTCCATAACGCGAAGATTTTCAAGATTATCCGCTCCGGAACTAGTTCGAATGAAGTTTGTATGTTTAGACGGTGTTGCGGAATTGGACGAAATGGCTATAAAACGTAACTGATAAAGCCAGTATCAAAACAAGATAAGATACAACTTCGTGTATCTTAGGTCGAAAATCGGGACGAATCGGGGAATCAAAACAAATAAAGGAGTAAGGTCAGCTCAACAACAATATCAGCTGTTCACCCAAACGAGTTCAATTCAATGAATAATTCTCTGAAATGAGCCAAACGGAACTATTTCCCTACGAATCAACGGAGACAGAAGAGAACGAAAGAAGCACCCGTGCTTCTTCTTGTTAGAGTGCCATATGTGGCACTTGAATAATGGTGTTTTTACACGATATGTATTTTATATATGTGCTGTCACTTTATTTACATATGCAACTCGAACTCGTCATGTGAAACATACGGAAGTTTCAATGTGTCAAAACGATATGCAATTACATATGTATTTTTTTCCGAATAGGACGCGGTCTATTTTCGTATGTGAAACATAAGGAAATCAGCTGTTTGAATGAAACACATTGTTGGAAGAAAATATTTCAGTTGCAAGTCAAAGAAAAGGATGAAAAGGCAACAATTACAAATTATTATTGTAGGTGTTTAATAAAAAATGATGTTGATTTAAGAAAAAATAAGTGTTTTTTGTTTATAGGTTATGTCATATGTAAAATATACAGTGGTGGTCACAGAATTAAAACATTTACTGTGGTAAACATTTTGTGATCAGCCCTCGATTCGTTGGAGTTATTTTTGAATTTTTTTAATTCAGAACACTTTGATATACTGCACTTAAAAGATTTAGTGTGAAAATAGAAAATTATTGCATGCAATTTTTCCATAAATAACTATTTTTATGAAAATATATCGATTTTGAAGTGGCCATATAATTAAAACATTGTGTGATTTTTTTACTTTACTGCATTTTTTGAAAATATTTTTAAAAAAGCTCTTTAATTTAGTTAAATTATGTAAACTGAGCACTGATAGAATCATTTGCAGATGAAAATATCTGAAAAAATCTGTAAAATCTATCAAAATTGCCAAAAGTTGGTACAGTACACCTAACATTCAGAAAACAACCTTATTATAGAAAATAAAGGTCCGAATGCACTAAAAATTGGTAGAATTAGTAAAAAACAATTAAAATTCAAAAAATGAATAAATATTTGAAATAAAAACTCAAAAAATGGGAATTAACCTAAAGGAACGATTCAATTTCAATAGCCTTTACTAAAGAAGGCCGGAATATTTTTGCAGTATGTGAGAAAATATCGATTGATATTGGTATTTATTGTATCAAATCGATTGTTCGAGTAGTGCAGAATATATTTCACCAAAAAATATATCAGTCACAGCAGAACGAACAGAGATCAACGCCTATCTTGACGAGTAAAGGTTTCTGGCACACAGCAGCATGATTGATGGCCAACTCTTGACCCTTAAAATCTATTGAACATGACAATATTTTTCCAAAATAATATTTTATGAAGAGAATAACTTCCGCTTAATCTATTTTAGTAAGAAATTAGGAAAAAAATTACACTTTGACAAATATTTGAAGACTTGTGTTGAACATCAAAAATGCTGCTGTGTGCCAGAAACCTTTACTCGTCAACATAGGCGTTGACCTCTGTACGTTCTGTTGTGACTGATATATTTTTTGATGAAATATATTCTGCACTACTCGAACAATCGATTTGATATAATAAATACCAATATCAATCGATATTTTCTCACATACTGCAAAAATATTCCGGCCTTCTTTAGTAAAGGCTATTGAAATTGAATCGTTCCTTTAGGTTAATTCCCATTTTTTGAGTTTTCATTTCAAATATTTATTCATTTTGAGAATTTTAATTGTTTTTTTTCTAATTCTAACAATTTTTAGTGCATTCGGACCTTTATTTTCTATAATAAGGGTGTTTTCTGAATGTTAGGTGTACTGTACCAACTTTTGGCAATTTTGATAGATTTTACAGATTTTTTCAGATATTTTCATCTGCAAATGATTCTATCAGTGCTCAGTTTACATAATTTAACTAAATTAAAGAGCTTTTTTAAAAATATTTTCAAAAAATGCAGTAAAGTAAAAAAATCACACAATGTTTTAATTATATGGCCACTTCAAAATCGATGTATTTTCATAAAAACCGTTATTTATGGAAAAATGCATGCAATAATTTTCTATTTTCGCACTAATTCTCTTAATTGCAGTATATCGAAGTGTTCTGAATTAAAAAAATTTCAAAAATACTTCAAACGAAACGAGGGTTGATCAAAAAATGTTTACCACAGTAAATGTTTTAATTCTGTGACCACCACTGTATATGCCAATTTGAAAACAAAAAATAAAAGTTTGTACGCTGCTAATTTTGACACACATAAGGAATTACATATGGATGAAATAAGTGACAGCACATATGTAAAATACATATCGTGTATAAACACCATAAATAATATATATATATATATATATAAATTAAATAAATTAAAAATTAATAAAACTTCCCAACTATGCCAAATGTTGTGTACGGCCGTATTACCCAAATACGTCGAATCTATATCTTCAAGCAAATAATACAAACCGCAAAACAAAATTGAAAATTTATTAAATTAATCCACATATTTTTAGTTTCCATTCGAAATTTCAAGTTTCCAGAATGTCTGGTTTTTGTTTTTAACAAAAGAAAAAAAAATTAAAAATACGTTCTGTCAAAGTTGAAATTGTTCAACTTGAAATTTTGTACGTTCGACGTATTTTGGTAACATTCATATAAATACATGGGATCGAACAACACCCCAGACCGCGGTTCTGTTCGGTTTGCAATTAAGGAATTGTTCCGCTTCGGCACGATAATTATACTATAGCGACGTCATATTATTCGCCGAAGTATGGAACACCACCGAAGTCTCCTCAACAATTGCGCCGTGTTTCGAGGAAAAAATTGGAATAATAGATTTTATAAATCATAATAAAATCTTATAGTACGTTTACATTTAACCGGATTTCGTTAACCTAGTGGGTTTCAATTGTCAATTCCTTTGCATATATATCAAATAAATCCAGCTATAGTTATAAAGTTTTAAAAAAGGATCGCTCCTGAACAACGCTTAAGTCTATCTCGAACACTGGATTATAGGATCACAGTCACATTTAACGAAGAAACTGTGACTGCTTCGAAGAGATGCTCAAATTATTTTAATCAACTGCTTGTCGATCTTTCAAAAAGCAACTGGGCGAAACGAAGAGTACTACGTCTTATAACATCTCTTCCCGCCGCATGGGTGCACAGTTTACAATGGGTGATGTTGCATGTGTCATCGGTAGTGCTAAAGCGCGAGAAATATAAAAATATACGCCAAGAAAGCAGGTCACTTGAATGTGCAGATCAATTCCGACTACAAATACCGACAAAATTGACTGGGTCACATTCGAAAGCATATTCAAATTATCCTCGCAAACCAGCTATCTGCGATAAGTTGTAACAAATGCTTTGAGTGCCTTCTCTTGACACCTTACGTCAGCATAGCAATATGCTTAAATTGAAGTACCTGTTTGGTTGTTTCCACGTTAACCATCCCAACCATCTGGAAGTATTTGTATGATCCATAGAGAGAGAAAGGTCCCACTTTATAAAAAGGAGCCTCTAAATAAAGAGTCCTATCGAATAGGTCTTAATAGCATTCAAACTGAAAGCAATTGCCTACGTGCTGAATGAATACCTTTCTTGGAACTCACCCCTCCATCCATGGCTGCTAAAGAACGTCAGCTGCCCAGAAAACCCAGAGTAGTTCTGGCTCAATACATTGATAATGGTGCAGTCGTCTTAATTCGGATTGGGTCAAACCTTCTAAACTTACTCCAGAATATAGATGCAAGTCCGGAACTTGGTTGTTTTTTTAAATTATTTCCGTTTAGAAAAGAATTTTAAGTAAATCGAGATAAAGAGTGACTTTATTTTGTTAAGTATATCGAGAAAAATTCAGCTCGATTTATCAATTAAATAGAAATGATATCTTGATAAAAGCTAACGTCTTAAAGCGTCTTTATGTGTGCGTGTTTTTTAAATAATTTCACAAATTCAGAGTTGTATTTTTCTAATTCTAATGAATCTACACTTTAAATCAAAAATGCGCAACAAGTTTGTGATTCACATAGTGCAAAAATTAATGATAGTCCATAACTTCTTCCATACGATTTTTGAATCATAACTATCAGTTCCCTATATTTTTCAAGTGTTTCCTTTAATTTTTTAATATTTTCGTCAAATTTAGAATGTTCTAAAATATATGAAAATCTGGGTTTTTTCCCAGCAAATTTTATTGGCAACGCTTTTTATTTAAATTTATTTCAATAAAAATTATTAAATCTCTTTTTGCAAATAATGTCAAAAACATTTACTAAAACGTATTTCCAAAATTTACTGATTTTTCTATAATTCTATAACAAAATGTTTTTTCTTGTATTTTAACGCACATTTCTATGCCCTTTAAGACAAATCGCACCATGTGAATCACCCTTCATGACAATTTCATTTATAAAATTTTTTATAAATTCTTTATATATATATATATATGTGTGTATTATAAATCTAAAATCAATTGCATAATTGTCAATTTTCTAATTAAAAATTCTTTATTTACGTCAACGCACATTTCTATACCTTTTAATACAAATCACAGCATGTGAATCACCCCTTCATGGAAATTTCCTTTTACACTGAACATACCCTCATTGACTGACATTACACTAATCGCCATTTGAATCACCTTGTTGCTGCCAGCTAAACGATAGCGACATTGCTACCTTTCAGAGGTGTTTGATTTTTGCAGTCTTCATACGTACGTGAAAAAAACTTGTATACATCTTCACGAATTTTTTTCCTTCCCAAAAGAAGAAAAGGGAAAAAATGTAAGTGAAAAAAAAAACAATAAATATCCAAGAAGAAA